TGAAGCGGGAGCCCAGCAACGGCAGCCCGGGAGGGGCCGCTGCTGGCCGTCGGGGGAAAGGTGGGTGAGGGAGGACGGGCCGGGCTTGGGGAGGGGTCCCTCCTCCTCGCGTTCCCACAACCCGCTTCCCGGGCCGGGTCATACTCTGGATTCGCGGAATGCTCGGAGGGGCCCGCCGTCGACGAAGGCAGACGCTCTGCCTTTTCTCTCCTGCTGCTGCTGCTGCTGCAGATAGTCTCCCAGCTCTCTCGCTTCGCCTCTGGAGCCGAAGAGCCGGATGGGAGACCACCAGGAGATCCCAGAGGGCGGGGGGAGGAACATCCCGGAGGAAGGCCGCGGCAAACCACTTCAGGAAAATGACAAGTTTTTATGTATTGTATTGTATTGTATTGTATTGTATTGTATGGAGAGCCACTTCACTGGAGTGGTGAAAGGTAGCAGGCTAGAAACTGGGAGATGGTGAGTTTGAGTCCTGCCTTGGGTACAAAGTGAGCTGAGGGATTTTGGGGCCATTTCCTCCCTCTCAGCCTAGGAAGAAGGCAACCATTTAAAAAAAAAATTGCTCCCAAAACTGCAGGGATTTGTCCACGTAGTCGCCAGGAGTCAAGACTGACTCAAAGGTGCATGCACAAAATTAGATTTATATCCCCCTTTATTTTGTCCAACTTGGAGTGGTGTACATAATGCTTTTGCCTCCTATTTTCCTTACAACGGCCACCCTGTGAGGTGGGTTGAGCTGAGAGAGAGAGACTGGCCCAAAGTCACCCAGCCGGCTTTCCTCGCTAAGGCAGGACTAGAACTCACCATCTCCAGTTTCTAGTCCAGCATCTTCACTGCTGCGCTAAACTGTCTCATTATGTCTATGAAGTCCCTTAAGGAAGATCACCTTTTCACAGATATAGCTATTTTGTGGGTCCTTGTAAGGACCCAAAAGGTGCAACATAAATCTTCTCAATGAATTAGTTCCTTGGATAATCTAATCTAATCTAATCTAATCTAATCTAATCTAATCTAATCTAATCTAATCTAATCTTATCTAATCTCTGCTCTATTATTCCTACGCAGCTATCAATGATATCTCCCCTTCTACAAGTTTACCACCTCTTGTGGAAGGACAGCTGCGCTGCTTTCTGAAACTGACCGTTAGCAAAATCCTATGGTCGGTCGCCAAGCCACCACCTTCCTCCACCGTTCGGGTGAGGTGGTGGGGAGAAACCTCCAATGGTACCATCTTCGTTCCCCGGGATGCTTCCCAGTCTGAGCAAAAAATACTGAAAACCACTACCTGCTACCCAGTGCGATGTGGACCAAAGCAGTTTGCATCTTACCTGACAGGTACATCTGGCTCTTTGCAGTTAATTGGGTGGCGTGTTGAATGGTGTGCCCTGGAGCAGACATGGGACAAATGTGTTGAGATTTATGAAGGTGCCTTGCCACAAGGATGTGGTCAGTCCACAGAAGTCCTCTGGAACTCGCCACAAAATTGTTATTTTTAGTGTGAAAAAGAGAAAGTATTAAGTACAGTCAAGAACAAACATATTAGCTTTATTCAATTAATTTACAGTTGTTCCTAAATATAGTGTAAATGTCATTTTTGTCATGGCCTTAAGTCCAAGAACTGATTGATTAGGTGTCATCAAGTCATTGTTGACTCGTAGTGACCACATAGATAGATTTTCTCCATGACAATCTGTCCCCAACCTGGTCTTTCAGGTCTTCCAACAGTGCCCCCATTGCCACTGTAACTGAGTCCATCCCCCTTCCTGCTGGTTGTCCTCTTCTTCTCTTTCCTTCCACCTTTCCCAGCATCAGAACCTTCTCCAGAGAGCTGGGTCTTCTCATGTGTCTGAAGGAGGATAATTTGAGCCTGGTCTTTTGTGTTTCAAGTGAGAACTCTGGGCTAATTTGTTCGATGATCCATTGGTTTCTTTTCTTGGCTGTCCATGGTCTTCTCAGGAGTCCTCTCCAACCACAAAGTTCAAAAGTGTCAATACTCTTCCTATCCTGCTTCTTCAAAGTCCAACTTTTGCTCCTGTAGAGTGTTCCAAGGAAACCATGGCTTGCACGATTCTGATCTTTGTAGGGATAGACCCAACATGCCATTTGAATATCTTTTCCAAGGCCTTCATGGCTTTCCAAGTGCTAATGCGAGTCTGGGATGTATTTCTTGACAAGCCCAAGAATAGCCTTGTTTTATTTTGGCTGCTTTGTTGCCAAATTGCAGGGCCTGAGGAGCTATCCGCAGATTGCCTGTCCCTGCTTTATCCCAGTGGTCGATCTGATCCACTGTTTCTTCCTCTGGCTCTCCAGATGCTGCAACTTGCAAAACTCGAATCCTTAACCCTGGAGGTTCCCTTGAAGCCAAGACTCTCCCGATCACACCAGTCACTTTCATAGGCCTAAAATGAGACATTACTTTGGCATATCTGCTCATTTTCATATCAGGTGGAAACAGGTGTCCATGGGGGGAAGTAAAAAATGTCAAGATGGCAGCCACACCATGCCATCACAGCTCTGCCCCCTTTTTATATGCATCTGCACCAGCAGAAACTGTTTCTTTGCGAGTGCTGCAGAGCACTTCGTAGATTATAATGCTTGGCTGCGCGGTTTAATATATACGACCTGAGGGTGTGTGTTTTAAAATGGGGAAAGACGGTTGCCTTTTTTATCTCCCTTCCCATCCATTTCACTCCAGTCCCTCCAGGCCTAGCTCTCCATGTGAGCTTCTTATTCCATCATGGTGGATGGAAGTGAGGAACAAAGTTTGCATTTAGGGTGCCTTAAATATTACAAAAAATTGTGCTTCCCCCCCCCCCCCCCCGGTTTTGAAGTAGATTCACGCCTTTTGAATTCACATGTTGTTTATCCAGTTAGACCAAGCTGGTCATCTTTCGTTTGTTTCTTTGCTTGCTTCCTATAGATATGGGGGCTCTTATCTTGGAAGTAATGACCAAACCAGATCATCTTCCAATTGGACGGGTTCAAATCAAAGGGCTAGCACAACTCTCTCCGAGCCACCCAATCAGCGGATTTTTCACCATCGTTTCACCGTCATCTGAAAAGATGGGAGAGCTGCAGGTGGTTCAGAACTCTTTCCTTACATAACATTCTTGTTTCCTGTTGCCCTACGTTGACTCCAGTATTGTAAATATTGATCATTTTGAAATGCACACGACATAATTAGTAGTAGTCTTGATGTTCTAGAACAGACTTTTGGGGCTGTGGAGGATTAGTGAGTGGCTGGTTACAGGACACTTTTTGACACTCTTCTCTGAGAAAAAGCAGACAGTGAGAGGAAAGAAGAGGTCTTGAAGAGTCTCTAAGGCTGATAGACAAGTACCCTTCATTGATTAACAGCCAGTATATATTGCTGAGGGTTATCAACATTTTGGAGAATCAGTTGTTCAGAATCAGGTTTCTGATACCTATGTAAACAGCTCAAAGGGCTGTTGTATGTCATGCAGGGGTTTGGAAAATGGAAATCTCCCCCAAATCATGAATTTTCTGGGTAGCCTTAAGCATTGTCTTCCAGCTTCTTCTGGGGATTTTTTTTTTTTTTTTTTGGTGCCTTTGAGTCAGCTTTTTGACTCCTGGCGACTGCCTGCACCAGTCCCTGCAGTTTTCTTGGCTAGGTTTCAGAAGTGGTTTGTGCTTGCCTTCTTCCTGGGCTGAGCGACAGGGACTGGCCCAAGGTCACCCAGCTGGTTTCGTCCCTAAGGCAGGACTAGAACTCGCCATCTCCCGGTTTCTAGCCTGGTGCCTTCACCACTAGACCACACTGGTTCTCCTGGGAATCATAATCTTGCAGAACTGTCGTAAAGGTCAGTGAGAGGCCACAGAAAGCGTTGTAAGCATTCAGTGTATTGGGCGCAGTATGAATTGGGAGGTATCCTTACAGGCTTTCTCAAATGCCACGTTTCAGATATCGCTGTTTCTTGAACCCCTGTCTGATGTGTACGAAAGCAGCAACTCAGTCCCAAACTCAGACATGAACAGGAGCAAAGATGCTGCCGACCTGAGCCACAGCCTTGCTCCGTCCCCGCTTCATCGGCCAGCCAGCACCCATGTTCCTGGCAGAGAGTCTGTGGGCAGCAGCAGAGCAACTACCCCCAGGTTTTCTTCTCTTTTCTCTCAACTGGGGTTTAAAAAGTCACTCCGACATCTCAGAAAGGTTCCAAAATACATATTTACTATCTTTGGGAGAAGAACTTGTTTAAGTTGTAATGCCTTTTTGAGATAGCCATGCTTTTAATACCTATGTGTGTGTATATAAAATATATAAAGTAAAAATATATATTATGTTATATCATATATCATATATCATATATTAATAAGGTTGGGAGGTGGGGGCTTGCCAGATCTCGAGCGGAGGGTGCCCCAAAAGTTGGGGCCACTGTTGAGAGGGCATGGTTCCAGTCCCCAAGTTAAGAATGCCTGGGTTACAGATGACCCATAGTTAAGAATGGAGCCTGCTGTAGCAAAATTCAAGTTAAATACACAATGTTTTTAGTTAAATACACGATGGCTCGAATTCATTACACAATACTACTTATACAGTATTATCTAATAATAGTGTTCCGGGTTATGTACAAATTCAGTTTAAAGACACACCTTGGGAATGGAACTCGTTCTTAAACGGGACTACCTTTATATGTCGACATTTAAGGGAGGGGACCTGGAGCGCACCCGCCCTATCTGACCTGGTAGAGCGGGCACTTTGGGAGAGGCGGTCTTCCAAATAGCTTGGCCCCTTACCAAGCTTAAGTTTTAAAGCTGAGAACCAACGCCTTGAATTGCACCCAGAAAGAAACTGGAAGTCAGTGCAGCTCACACGGCAGCAGTGTAACATGGACAAACCATGGAGCACCCAGAACTGCACATGCCGCTGAGTTCTGGACCAGTTGTAATTTCCGTATGTTTTCCAAGGGCACCTCCCTGTAGAGTGTATTGCAATGATCCAGTCAGAAAGGGACCACGATGAGTGGCTGTGCGCAAGGCCCAGTCCAGGAACAGGCGCAACTCCACAAGGTGGATCTGTGTAAAGGCTTCTCTAGCCACGGCTGCCACCTGCTTCTTGAGCAGTAGCTGCAAATCCAGGAGGAGCCCCAAATTGCTCTCCATCTGCATTTATTGCCAAGCACTGTAATCACGCCTAATAATGTAGGTGTCTCTGAAGTTCAAAATGCTGCTGGTCCAAATTGAAATGTTGATCCATGTTGTAAACGTTGCCAGCGAAATCATTCCTTTGGGCAAGTTAATGCAAATTTTGACATATCAGTCTTTGCGGTTGAACGTTTTACCAGCGTGTCCTAAAGCAGTTCTCAGATAAACCAGGCCCTAAACAGTTAGCAGGAGTGTGTCACCTTGTTCTTCTTCAAAGGGTCATTTCACGCTGCTTGCATCGTTGGCCTCAGCTGCTGCTGCTGCTTTTTTCTCCCACTGTGAATCATTTGACAAATGCGACAGCTCTTGTTGCTTTTCCGCCTGCTGTCAAGAACACAGGCAGGGTGAGAAATCAGGAATTGACTTGTCAGCCCTGGAGGAGCTTGGAGGAAGGAGAATAAAAGCCTCTGTTGCCACTGCTCGAATGCTGCCTTGCAACAGGGGATAAAATGGGGGAGCTGCAAACCTGAACAGCTGTGTTCTGTGAACGTCTGTTTCTAGGTGGACTGAATTCAGAGTCAAAGGAGGGGATTCTCAAAAGGTAGCTCCAGGGTTGTTGGCATCTTGATCTTGTTTGTAGGCATTTGTCAGGCTGCGCCCAAAGTGGCCCTTGAGCTAGAAGGCTTGCAGGCAGAGATTCAAAGACATAGTTCTGGATGAGAGCGTTTTGTTGCAGATCCTGGGGAAGACATGGACCGAGAGAAATCAATGGCTGCAAACTGTAGGGTTCAAGGTCTATATGAAGCAGGTCCAAGGTTCAAATTGTATGTCTCTTTTCCCCAGTTGTGCATTGTAATAGACAGTTAGTAGGAAGAATGGTTGACCCCTGTGCTTTGTGATCACCACAGGCCCTTTGACAGCAGGACTTTGCCAGTTCTAGCCTACACAGCCTCCAGATTAGCAGTCTTCCCCATGGACTCAGTTGTAACCAACACACTCCTTTGAAATGAGCCCTCTTACTTCTTTTCTGATCAATAAGTACAGCATCCTGGTGGGGGTCTTTCCAACCCCCATAAACAAGAGGGATTTTGTTCTGTGAAGCTTGATATCTGCCAGAAGCCCTTCCCTCTTCTGTGCTTCTTCCTGACTCTCCTTTTAGCAGTAGCTTTAGCTTTTGTCCATAGGATTCAGATTCCTTTTATTATTTTCCTTCTATTTTTGATAGTAGCCTGGTGAGTGAAGTAATTGCGCATTGTCCTCTGCTACACCCTCTTGCCATAATAATGTGCTAACTTATGTCAATGTCTGAAGCCACCACAGGGATCTTGGGTCAGCCTAAATGAATTTTTCTTATGCTTATGTTGTGCTTATGTTTTAAAATAGGGGAAAAGATCACTTATACTTCCAAGAGAATTCTGAGAATATCAAAAGAAGTACTTCTGGATCTCAACACCACCTGAATGATATCCTGAATGCAAATGATCCCAAGGCACAAAGAATGTTTCCCAACAGCTCTGATCAAGATGTGCAAATTAAGTTAGGCAAGAAAAGCACACTTCCCATCCGGATTCTTTCTTGCAACAATCCAGCCACGAAGGATCTCCTTTCAGGTAAGCTGGTACAGTATTACCAAATACTGTAAAATTAGAACACATTTTTATTATTTTTTTTAAAAAGGCCACGTTGCATTTGATCCTAAAAGAAGGATTGCAATCAGTTGATAGTTACTTTGTTTTTAATTTGGATTTCATTTCTCTGCTCTTTCTTTCAAGCCCTTTTGGATCAAGGCAACAGGCTGCGAAATGCTATGGCTGTATCTGCAATGAAATCTAGTCCGGATCCTGTCACAGAACTGTATGAAGCTCAACCTTCTGTAAAGCAGGACTTCTCCCAACAATCTGGACAGTGAGTTTGGGGGTAGGCAAGTGGGAAGGTTTGTGTCCTCAACAAAATGGAGTAAGGTGTGTCTCCAAACGGAGTTTGAATATTTTTCAGAGTAACTTGATACCTGCAATTCTATAGAGAGGCAAAGTCAATCTATTAATTTCTGTTATTGCACTCCTATTTATTAACAAATATGCAGGCTGCTAATTTCAAGAATCTCTGCATCAGGCAGAATCGAAAATGCCCACAAGTGTGTACAGAAACACCTTTCATCTCATATAATAGCGCATCTATGCTATTTCAGCTTGTGTGCATGTGTTCCGATCAATGGATTGTTGCAACCGTCTGTAGCTGTTTATACTTACTGGCATCGTATTTTCAGAGTTGTACAAGCATGAGAGGAGCCACGTAGCCACTTCTCTAGAGTAGGGTTTGGGCTGCTTTTGAGTTTTGCTAGCCATCTCAAATAGAGTGACAGGTGAATTCCTCTTTTTATATTGTTTCTTTATTTACATGTAGTTATGTATGGTGCAGTTGGATCAAGTTTACATGAAACAAAAATATGAATATATCATAATCTCTGTCATGTCTTCAACCACTACAATTCCCACATAAACCAATGTCCCCCACAACTGAAAAGTCAAACCCTGGCACCACCATTAGCATCCAAATGCTTTGGAAGAGAACTGTGTTCAGTGCCTTTCAAAAAAGCAATAAGGAGCAGGGTGAGGGGGGCCGTTCCATAATGTGGGAGCCATCACTCAGAAGAACTTTTTTTACCCTCAGTAATTCTGGCATCTTGACCATTCCTTGAATAAAAATATATAAACCTTGATAATTTATCTTTGAAAAAGAATAAAAACAGTATGTTAATCCATTATTATTCATTAAATGCATTTTTATCTACTACTGTTCATTATTAACGTCATCAGATTTTAATATACAGCATAAACCAAATGCAACCCCCTTCCCCAAACCTGACAAAGTATAAACAGTACTTTGAAACAGTTTGAATCAGTTAAGACTCTAATTTTATATCCCATTTCCTGTGTAAAACACCATTGGATTCTGTTGCACTTTTTCCTAGGTAGACATCTATAGGACTACACTGAAAAATCCATTAAAACTCTTGGGTAAATGATTTTTCTTAACCTGATTGTAAATGATAGCATTTTCACTCCTCAAAATGCTTTTGATTCTGATATTTGTTTGATCCTTCCTATATATTTTTCCCTTCTTTATTGGAATATTATGTCCAGAACGCTTAAGAGACTGACTCCTGGCCTCATATGCGAAGACCCTCTTCAGCCATTGCATGAATGCTCAGAATTTGATTTGGATGCTGAAAAGAAAGCAGTTGAGATCCTGTTGGGCAAGTAAGATATTATTGCCCTGGTTCCCATTTGAAAAATTGTCTGAGGAGTCTTCCAATCTTTATGTTTCTTGTAAATGTAGTCTGTTTTAAAGATTTTGTTCCAGTTTCCTTTCTGTAACTGTCTGTCAAAGATATTTCTATGCACAGGAAAACACAGTAGGTAAGTTCTACCAGCCTTTATAGTACACCTGTGGAACTTTTTCTTTTATCCACAGCTCTGATTTTTCTCCAGTCCGTCTTGTGGGTGGTGCAGGCTCTCCTCCAGGATCTCTTTCCCCCGGGAGCCAGTTTTATGACAGTGAATTGAATGACCCCCACTACGACCAGAGTCTTTTAGAAAATCTGTTCTACACCGCTCACGTAAGTACAATTTTATTGTGATAAAATTCTTATCCTCTCAGTCCCCTATTACCACAAATCGTCTGCCTGTCTAGAAAAGTCTTACTTTTGGCAAAGGGGATATGCAATGCCTCTTGCCTGTTCTGAGGGCAGTGATGTCGTTCTACTGCAGATTTTTTTTCTTTTGTGTGCACAAGATCTTGGACTGAATTGGCAGCACTAGAAGCTGTATCAGATTTCTCTGTTCCAGGATATCTGTTGCCATTTGTCATAAACCAACATAAACTCACATGCCCAGTTAATTACTGTTCAGGTTAATGTTGGATTTGAGAGAACTGGTTGTGTAAATCATGGCAAGTCTGCTAACTTATCTTTCACATAAGCTAAGAAGCAGATGTAAGGGCTTGCTAGTCCATAGCATATTTTTTGCTACCCAAGGCATCAGTATGATTTGTTCATGCTCCGTGAGTGACAAACAGCTGGGGAGGGCCAGTGTGATATAGTTGTCAAAGTGCTGAACTAGTTCAAATCCATCCTCAGCCCCAGAAGCTCCCTGAGTGCCTATGGACTTTCACTTTCTCCCAGCCTGACCTACCTCACAGAGTTCTTCTGGGGAGAAAATCAAGGGAAATCCTTATGTAAGCTACCTTGAGTACCTGGACACAAGGCAGGATTTAAGTCTAAAAATAAGATAAAACTGCTCTTCCTGCTTTCCTGTAGAAGTGTGTGTCTTACCACAGGTGGCCGAAAAATGGCAGTTTTTCCGTCTCCTCTAAATTAACTGAATCAGTAAATATGTGTGGTTGGAGTGTCTCTGAGTGCCCTGTTTAAAGAGGCAGGAATTGTTATTTTGAGCTGGCAAACCTGTGATAATATGAGATCATCTCTTGAATTTTTACTGTCCTGCAGACTAGCTTTTAGAGGGATAGGATCAGGAAGTATGTCTGGGTGAAAGAGAGCAATTAAAATCCTGCAGTTTGGGGAATCTTGGCTTTGTTGATGAAGATTTGGAGGGAACTGAACCGGAGATAATGTTTTATTATTGCCCATTTGTGAGTAGGTTTTATTCTTTCTAAATCCACAGAATGTTGGGGAAAAAATACATAATGGTATCAGAGTGCTGCTTTTTGTCCATCAGCAGGATAGCTCTCTGAAAACAGAACAGGACCACGTTTGGGGGTGGGATGAGCAGGGAAAAGCCAGCAAAGAAAAGATTGAGGATGAAAATGGGCCAGATCTGGCTGGGGAGGAAAAAGAATCCCAAAAAATCATCCCATTGGATCCTTACAGGAGGGGCAGTTGGGGGGAGAAATTGGGGAGTAGCTTCGAAAAACCACTCCATTCTAAGCCATCTCCGCCTCCTCTTCCTCCTCCTCCTCCTCCTCCTCTCTCTCTCTCTCTCTCCCCCCCCCCCC